TTTTTCTCTCTGCGTCTGTCTGTATCTCTCTAAAAAAAGTACTTTTGCATTCAACTATTCAATTTCTGTTTTTTCACTCTTTCCCACCTGCCCACTTTTATGCAAGCCCCCCTCCCTTTCTCACACCACTTAGCTCCAAATTTCTCTCCCGGCCTAAATGTCTTTGGCTTTGTTTTGTAGATCAAAACACTTGTATGCATCTCTCAAAGCGTTGCTACCTTAACTCTCACACTCTTTTTTTCCATCTCTCACTCCAAATGGTTATTTCTGTATATCTCTGTGTTTCTCCCTAAAGATCTTGCTGGAAAACTATACTTTCATGCATCTTTCAAAGCCTTTTTTCTGATATCTCAGAATCAGTTATTTTCTCTGACTGTCTCATCTGCTCCCAATTTCCTCCGGTAAATACAGTAATAATCTATTTCTGCTTTTCTAAATCATACTCATATTTCTCCCAATACCTCTTTATTATTGTGTTCCATCCACCCTCACTCTCGTATCCTGCTTCCCTCTGTATTTGTTATTTCTCATCTGAACATCTTATTACATCTTGTGCCTCTCCTCTCTCCCTCTGTCCTTCTTGTTTGTTTCCTGTCTATTTCTATCCTTCTCACTCTCTCGCCGGCCCCCTCTTATTCATTTGGCGTCCGTCCCTGCTTCCGCTTCTCCTCTGCACTCACTTTCAGCTTGAATATATTTATGTTTACACGTTAAGTCTCACTCCACCTTTATTTTAAACCTTCCTTCTTCATATCTCCTCCTCATTATTACACTTCCTGTAGATGTATGTCTCCCATGTAGGATTTGAGGGGGTTTTGCACTGTCCGAATCTGCACAGGATGGATGAGGTGGACTCTCTCCATTTGTTGCTGCTTTTCAGCCTTTTTTAAATGACTCTGCATTTCTCAAGAGAGGGCACTGCATTGTTCATTTGTTTGGCTGTGGGTCCCCTGCAATATCTCAGGCAACACTTACTAGATTTAGACAGTCGAAAGGGAAATGATGCATTGCACCTCTAAATGTCCATTTTCCCAAGGGGGGAGAGCCATAATTACAGGTCAGTGAAGGTAACATGTTTGTTAATTACCCGCACAAAGGTTTTCCTGTCTCATTTATAGGTGAAAATATGTTTATTATTACCTTATGGCATATCTTTGCTCTACATCAATTTTAATTTGCATATTATCCTTCTTAAGTGCATATTTTTTTAAGCATTTCACTCTCATTTTGGCACGCCTCCTCCCTTTTGCTTTCATTCTTGGTCTTACACTCTCGTTATCCAACATTGTGTTTGCATTTCTCTTCAAATCCTCCTCCTCCTCATCCGCCTCCTTCTCAGCTGCTCTTTGTATTTCCGTTTTGCATGTACAGTATGGTGGGTATGCAGGCGTACATATTTGGGTGTCTGTGTGTGTGGGTGCGTCTGAGTGTGTGTGTATTTCCTCAATGTCTAAGCAAGGACGCTCAGTGATGTCATAGTAATAGTCTTACCTGGAATCCAATCATTGGATATGCATAATCAACCACCTCTCTGTTTACCTCGGATAATTAACTACAGCTAATTAAGAACTGGCACTTACCACTTCATCTCTATGCTGTAATGCTAGGGTTACTCACTGATTACCTCTGTTTTGCTTTAAAATTGCTCCACCTAATAATTAACTTTCCCTCTATTGCCTCAGGAAATTCAAAGGAAAACAACATTTGTTGCCAGAGAAAGTTATAAAAAACAGTGCTGTGAACAAACTTGTTCTTCCCAGTCAAACTATTGAGTGGGGGAAGATGTTGCTATCTTTATTTAGTCTCTATTTCATGAGTGGAGGCAGACCTGTGCGATGCTAATTACAGGAAACACTTCACTGCCATTGTTTGCAAAGAACGAGCTCACAGGTTGAGGAATAACTCCTGCGAGGAGCTGCATTGACTAACAATGGAGAACACAAACCAATGGAGGCTGCTGGAATAAGACACACACTGGGCCGGACACTGCACAGTTCACACCAACACAGTTCTCTTATGGTAATAGATGGTGGCACATTGTTTGGGGATGGGAACATGATGATAGTCTGTCATTAGGGCTAACATCACGGCGAAGGGTCACAGAAACATCTCCTTTAATGGCCATGCTTGAGAGCAAGGAGGAAGAAAGTGACAATAAGACGACTCACTGCAAATGATCTGAGAACGTGTTAATGATTACCGTCAAGCAGCAGGTTATGAGATTTTTCCAAATCATGCATTATAAAGTTTGTTCACACACAGATGAAGATATTGTAGAAGGAAAAATCCTGTGTGTTTTTATTCCTCTTTTCAGGATCACAGAAAGTGCAACTCTATGACATCATCTAATTACTCCGGTCGAAATGGTTGAAAAAAAACAAATTATGGACACTGAAGTTCCCATGCCTACATGAAACGGTTTCCCTATCATTTTCCTATATCTTATTTTCATGCCGCAGTACAGGCCCAGTGCAAATTCTGTCAGGATTTGAGGTGGAGAGGGTTGTGTTTATGTGTGTACGTGCCAATGTGTTGGTTTCAATGTGATCCTGCAGAGATCCATGCCTGTGTGTCTGTCTGCTGTAGAATATATATATAGATATATATATATCAGGGCTGAAATGCAGTTTTGTTCCACTTCATCTTTCTATTTACTCGTTCAGCAATTCAGGTTGGTTTGAAATTAAAGGTCTCCTCATTTGGTTCCTGATAGAGTTTTGACATAATGTCTGCGGCGTGGCGAAAGCTTTTCCACAACAGTTTTCGATTGCAATGCAAATGGCAATTACGTTGGCAGTCCCTCTCACCCTTTTATCTTTCCGCCGAGCCAGAGAAAACAATTGAACTCTCAAAAATTGATCCACAGGGATGAGCGCTCTTCATGAATACAAAACACATTATTTGGGATGACCTGCTTGACACTGAATAGCACACAATTACCATATATATGTGGCTTTCTGTGTTTGTACTGTTAGATCTGAAATGGCTTGTCAGTTTGGACTGAATTTTTAAGTGCAAATTGCCTGAACTGTGAATACTCATAACCACTAAACATAGAATATTTTGTTGGTTATATGCAAAGGACCCCACTTGAGTCTACATCTTTTGCTGTGTAAAGTAAATACTGACATACAAGCTTTACCTAAAGTGCTTGATGGAATAGTGTGGGTGTCTCATAGAGGTGATTTTCAAAGATTATGTTAACACAGCACAGAGTTGAACTGAGTTACAGGAGATGTAAAGACATATAGTGGTAGCTTTAATCTGCCTGAAGGACCAGATGAGTTGGATGTAATTGCAGTGTGACAATTAAGCTGTCAGATAAACTGTTGATTTCATCAGCAGTCTACCTGAAAGTGTAATCATCTCGTATAGCTGTCAGGCCTTCTGTGACAGCAGAGATTTTCTAAAAATGTACGCACTGTCTCCTGTAGCCAAACCAATTTAAATGGGATGAATTTAAGCCAAAACTTCACATTTAAAAAGGCTACATTTCAAGGCTGCACAAAGCCTAAATATACTCTAAGAATGCACTGTTGACTTTATCCTTTCTTCCTTTGCAATATTTTTCAGATGTACTGTCACATTATTGTTACATTCAGGAGTGTATCCCTCTCTGCTTGACCTTCATTTATTTCTTAAACATGGACCAAAATCACACAAAGTGTATCTGATTACATCCCTGAATCTTATCTATGTCCCAATATGGAGTAAATTCTGCAAACTGTGTAATTAGCTGTTAAAATCTATTATCCACAATGAGTGCCCCTCTTTTTGACTCACTTTACAATTTTGTTGTTTGCTGTGATACCTTTGAAAGCTGTTATGCTGCTTAGCAGGCATAGCAAATAAAGTGCCATGTCAAGCAGAAGCAGGCTTGAAAACCCCCTCTGGCAAAATGACTCACTAGGCTGAGCAAGCCGCTCGCAGTCCAGATTATCCATGTCAATGGAACAGAAAATGAGAATCTGGATTTGCAATGTATCTGACAGCATGGAGATTATTTGCTTCCAGTTCAAGGCACAGTCTCTCTACGCAAATGATTACAAAAGCTCATACATTTTGGGAAGATTTGACTTCAATGTCAATATTTCAAATGAACACCCTTAGAATAAATGTAAAAACCAACACATAGGGGAAAGGAGTCATAGAAAACCTGTAAGATAAAAACCCTTATTTTTCACTTCCGGAAATCACTGCAAACTCACCAGATGTTTCCAGGACTCATGCAAAGGTATAACACTGCAGTGATAAGAGCTCTGGAGGAAAACTTAACAGTTTAAATGTGTTATATATAACTTGAACAACTGTGCCATTTACAGAGAGCTGCTTTATTAAATATGTGGTGTTTTATTACCTGTATTTTTGTAGGTGTTAGGTTGGTTAGATGTTACCTTTTATACCTCCTGTTGGAGAGAACGTATATGATGCAAGTGCAATTGAAATGTTTATTTTACATGCAAGCGATTCACATTAAATATATATCAGATGAATAGCCGATGATTTCCTGTTTTACAACACTAGTTTAGGACCCACATGCAACATGACAGAGGCAATGACTCACACTGTGGTTTATAACTACAGTCAATCACAGAGCATGATCAGATTAAAGGTAAGGTAAAAGGTACAAACACATTGTAGTTTTTTTTTCTCACAAAAAGTGACATTATTTTTACATTGAAAAAACGTAAGATTATTGTTCATTTTGTTTGCAAAAATTAAACTGTGATATTGCATACTTCCAGAAATATTGTATAAATCCAGAAATATAAATGTATCAATTCAAATTAAAAAAAGAATTCAGATATACATGCTGCAGGTTTAATAATAAAAACACGTTAACATTCAGTGGGCTACATATGGAGAAGGCTGCAGAGCTCGCGTCTCTCGGATAGCCCGCTGATTGGTCCGCTGTTATAGGGGCGGGGCTTGTGGCTGTGGGCGTTTCACAAAATCAGCCACCACGCAACACAGGCTCTCATTCACTACGGATTTGACGAGTTAAACTGACCCGTCTACGGTTTATATTCTTCTACGAATCTAGTTGCTTTTTATTTATTTGTTTACAACCGCTGCGTGCTTGAAGTGTTTTTCTAAGCGTGCAGGTGAGCGAACGAGCTCTTCTCTGAACTTTTCGGGGTTTTTTTGCACAGCCTACCTGAGTTGTGTTCCCTCTGCACGCCTCCACTCCTCTCCACCATGGATTTGGTTTGGATTGTGGGCTTCGTTGTGAGCGTCTGCGCCTGGTTTTCTTCAGCGGAGCGACACAGCGTCTACTGGAACAGCACCAACCCAAAGTAAATATACCTTTTTTAATTTGATGTTTTCTTATGTTTATACAATGCTCCTGAACGCACCCTTTCACACACTTCTTTATCCAGCAATGCTAAAACAAGTTTGTTTGGAATCTTAAACATTTCAATATCTTTTAAGCTTATTTTCAGTGCATGTTGCATCATTATGATCCATATTCAGATGCATTTTGAAGAGTTGCACCTCATGCATATTCAGTGAGCCTGTTGTGATGAATTTGTGATTGAAGCAACTGGCTGCTGTTGACATGATAATGCAAGACAGTTAGGAGCCTCTCTCCCTCCCCCTCCCTCCCTTTGGGCTCGAACCTGTTATTATGCTGCTGTTTATTTGTAATACTTTGTCTAACCTGCTCAAATTGAGTCCTTTCGCAACATGTGTTGTGCTTTTGGGATTAGTTACATCAGGTTCTCTATTTATCTTTTTCAGCCGACATTGAGATAACAGCTCATTTTTTGAGTGAAGCTAGCTCGGTTTAATCTGTTTAAATGATGTGTTTCATGGACAGAAAAATGCAAGGTTATGTTTTGACAGATTCTGGAAACTTTGTTGTACTCTTTATGCACACATGTGTCTTATCTAGAGTTTTATTATTATTAAGAGTGCAGCCATTTTTTAACCATGTATCAAACAGCTTATTTGCACTGTTAAAAGAGAGTGATTTGTGTTATTTTGGTGCTGTTGCATCTCCTTACATTGAGCTTAAATCCTATAGGGGAGAATTCTTTTCCCAAGGAAAAAGTTATAGTTTTGATGTTGGTTTTACAGGTCTGACTCACAGCCCAATGTGTTGAAATATCAGTTGCAATATCCTCCACATCTGACAGAGCCCTAACCTTTGTGTGGAGTGGGAGGCTGCAGTATCTCCTAAATCAAGAGATATCGCATGGGGTTTACGTGGCTGTCAGGGAGACATAGGGGTGTTCATATTTCAGGTGGTAAGACGAGTAATAATGCTGTATGACAGAGACGGAGGAGGTAACTTGAGGCCTGGCCAGTAGGTCATGCTGTGGGAGAGAGATGGATTGCTTGGGGAGGAGAAATTGGAGCTGAAATTGTCGGGGTTAGGGGCCATTCACAATAAGTGGGGGTCAATTAGAATTATGTTTGATGATGACTGGGGTGAAATGGCTCGGGGTACAAAGAGGGTTAGTTTTACACACCACAAATGAACTTCTACTTTCACCCACACACAAACACTCCCACTGTGCCGGGCAAGCACAAACAGAGACTCCTGGCAGACAATCACTCAATCACAAACCAGGACATTCAATCACAGCTACTAAATCAATCAGTGTTGGGCTCACTCTCTCCGCTGTGCAAACACATGTCTTATCTTGGTTGCAAACACCCAGATTTCCAAATGTTCCCCGAATAACTTGCAATCACTGCCTCCCGTTGGATCTCCCCTGTGGTTAAAACTACAGAATTTACAGTTTCTAGAAAAAGTCAAAATGATAGTGACAAAGCCTTTAGCTGAAAATCAGAACGAAGTCCCAGATGGAAAAGCGTTTTGTTGTCGCCCTGCTTATGTGATCATTCCTGTATATTTACTTGTAATCCGTCCTTCTGCATTTGCTGTTTTTTTTCTGGATGACTGTGCTAAATCTCTCCCGTTGGCTACTCTTAATCCTGTTTATGCAGAAAACTTTCATCAACCCCAGGATTCTGGTCTACCCTTTGACCCTTACTTGAAACAGGGTGTTGACATCCATCTTTTCTCTCATGAGATGGGGTTATTTCCTAGCCTCGGTTTGTTGTTCCTTCCCGCTGGTCAGAACGTTAAATTGATCTCAGATTGATCACTATGGCCCATGTGGTGCAACTCATTTCCTTTGTCTCAGCGTGTTTGTTGAGGGATTTAGCAAAACACACACTCATCCATGCACAGTTGCCCTGCTCAACACTGATGTGTGTGTGCACAGCGCACCTTTGGGCCTCCTTCCAAGGTCTATCTGCCAGTACTTTAACGACTACTTTGTTTCAGCATGAGTGAAATTTATCCTGACAATGTGTCTTTCAGCATTTTCTGACCTTTTCGTTGTTAGTTTATATGTAACCATTGTGTCTGATTAGCAACAGCTTAATCACCAGCACAGCTTTATTCCCAGAAAGAGGATCACCAGTGTGCCCAGTCAGTTCGGGCCCCTGCATGCCAGCGTGTGTACGTGTCTTTTGTGAAGGGAGTGTCTGTGCAGCAGTACCCTGTGTGTGTGTGTGTGAGCATTCACAACACCACCAGATTCAAGTGACTCACACACTCTCTTACACATTAACCCCAGTCATACACACATACACATGTGCCACACAGTTGTGATTGATGTTAACATCGTCCCTGGAGCCCTATGGACTCCACAGCTCCTATGTGAGGCAATAATCTGCTCATTCACTGCTTCTTCCTCCCTTTCCCCTATTTCCCTGCTGACAGAGCATGAGTAGACCACCACCCGCACCCCATCCCACCCCTTCTCTGCTTTGTACCTGTCTCTCCCTCGCTCCAGCACCTCCCTCCCCCTCTTGTTGGCCAGGTTCCCTTTTCAACTTGGTTCTGTGCTCTCCACTTCTGTGAGTCTGTTAACTGTTTCATGGCTTTCTCCATGCACGTGTTTGATCCGCTGTTAATTTAACATCATCCTCAATTTTGTCGTATTGACTCAAATGTCAACACAAAACTAGCCCCTCTAAAAAATATAAAACTCAACCTTTTTTTATTTCAAATGTATTGTACATATATTTTTTATACATTGTGTTTTATTTCTCTTGTACATATTTTATTGTCTTTTTTAATGTTCTTATATATTTTTTCTTTATATACTAAGATTCATATTGTAATTTTTACAGTATTTGTTCATATTCTGGTATGATTCTTCTATATTTATGTTTCCTGCTTTTGGAAACCTGCTTTTAAATTTCAATTCTCATACATTGTTTATGCCATGTACCAATACACCAAAGCAAATTCCCTGTATGGGAAAAACCCAGTTGGAAATTACCCGTATTTAGATTTTGATGAGGGAGTTATTTAAGGTATGTTTCACCCACATGGAGGGTTTTTCTGGTAGTTATCCAGTCAATATGGGTTTTTTGTGATCCTTCCTATACAAATTGGGGAATGGTCTTCATAGTGAGCCACAGAAAGAGAATAGTAACTGGTGTGACTGATTGTGGGTCAGAGTTGGCCGTGTGATGAAGTGGCACAGCCTCTATCAATCTGTCAGTCATTCTATCACGGCGGTGGTCCCTGAATACTGGCTGCCACTCAGGCCGTGGCTCAGCCTCTGGGAAACTCTCTTTCTTCCCCCTCCTGTCTTTTTGGTCCCCTTCGCTCCTTCACCAGCTTTTATCTCAACTTTACAAGCTGTCCCTTTTCAGTCTATTATTTCCTCACCTCCAACTCTGGCTCTTTGAGAACGGGGGAAGGAGGGAAGCAGGCTAAGAGGTGTGGAATTTTTTTATCGTTCTTGGCACCCATGGCGATCCGTCACAAGGCACTCTGCCCTTTCCTTCATGCTGTTTTTCCCCCCTCTGCTCTCTTTTCTTAAAGCTTCCTTCTTCTGCCTCTATGAAAAGCCACTCAAGTCTTCCCAGAAAACCAGTTTCTTTTTTCCCCATCTTCTTCACTTGTGTGTGCTTCTCCCCTCTTGAGTGTGTTTCTGGAAGTGGTAGAGCCAGTTTGAGAACTCAAACCAGGAAAAGACAGGACTTTGAATGAAGAAAAAAAACAAAGGTATACACATAGGAGTGGGTTGCCGTGTTTGTTTGCCTTCCGTGCATGTGGGAGCGTACATGTTTGAGGAATTGAAGATAAGATTGTAGGTAGTCAGCGTGCACACAATACGGGCCTTGTGCGATTTCCAAGTAATCTGAACCGAAGATACTTTCCTTGAAAAACATCCAGGTTTCCCACTTCACTTCCTAATCCAGCCTTCGCTCTAAACCCCAAGCTTCTTTTCTTCTCTGAATTCTCTGTCTAACTCCCATCTTTTTCTCGAAACGCCTGTCCCCTCCCACCTCCCTTAATCTGGTTTGTAATCTGTCTGGTGAATTCAATCTGGGGGAAAATACTCTTGAGTGATTGTCCAACGGATGGTAATCGCCTTTTATAGGCTTGGTGCTCATTCAAGTGTGTTGTTGTTTCCTATCTTAACAGTCTGTAATCGTCTGGACGAAGACTTTTACGTCAGTGATCAAATTGACAATATTAGTTTCCTTTCCCTGTGTTTATATTCTGCAACAACAAGTAGGAATATTGAACTGGAAGTCTCAATGGCGAGAGGGCTTGTTTTATTGACAGCACTATGGAGAATCAGGCCAAAGGTTTTATTTCCCGCAGGCGTGCTTACGGCGTTACAAAAGTCTGCATGCTGTCTGCTCTGTGTTTCCCTATGAAGTGCTGCACTTCCTGGCTACGTCTTTTCCCGGGAAAACAGCGTATCCTGTCTGCACAATAAACAATACAGTTCTCACACCCAAGACACGCAAGACTTTAAAAGCCTGGACCTGGGATTTGATTAAAGTTCCCAGGCTTGTTTGAGGAATGAATTAGTTTGAATCTCACAGAATAAGTAGATTCATTGTTTTAATGAGGGATGTGCTCAATTGTGGAAGCCTTGAGGGTGATAACGGATCCGCCTCCCCGCCTGCACTGCTGTCAAACCTCTGTGTCTCCATTTGGGATTCTCCTCTGATCCGTGTCACCCCATTCAACCCTGCCAGTGTTTCTTTGCCCCCTGCCCATCTTTGTGCCTCCTCCTTATCTTCGCAGCAGACTTCCCCTGCTCCTTTCAACTCTGCTCCTCCTCTCTGCACTGCTTTGCATCTCTGCAACCCCACACACAGATCATAGAGTAATAACTGAATGAATACACAGATTTATGATTTAATGATGTTTTTCATGGTTAATGTGAGGTAGAGATGGAGAATGTGTGTCCTCCAGACTTGTTTGTCAAGTCTTGGTGACAGTCAGCAGTGTATATGTGTTTAG